AATTATTTTTCCATGCTACTGTTTCTACCATGGTTCTGCATGGATTATTTTCTGGAGATGAAACAGTGAGTACCAGGCACCGGGGTTCTGCAAGACTAGTTTCATGCAAAAGACATGAATTCCACAGTGCTATTAATCATCAGAGAAGTCTTAATACAAAGGACAAAACAAAGCTCTATTTTTATCCCAGCGGGCAGAGTGCAATATTAAAAGCACTCGGAATTAGTCTCTTTGTCACGGCAGGTAACGAGAGTCAGCTCCCGTGTATCGGGTTTCTGGAGGTGGATGTTATCGGTACCTCCACCCTTGCATCACCCACGGGGCAGACAGGGAGAGGACAGGTCTATAACGTGACTCTCGGCCTTTGGCCAGATCTGGTTTCTGCTTTTTGCCCTGGAGAGGAAAACAGCAGCATATGCAGAGCTGGGAGGAAAAGAAACCACGCTCCAAGCAACAGCCATCCGCTTCTGTTTTGCATAAGGGGACAAACAAGAGGCTTGTCCAGACTCCTCCGATGGGACAGAAATGGGAGTAGGCAGAAAGGATCAGCCCCCTACATCCTTATATTTTAGCTTATAGCTTATATTTTGGCTGATAGATTGCACAGTCCTCCTCTCTGGAGGCTCTCCAACAAGACGTCTCACCAGCAAGAGGGTACAATGTGCATCCTTGGCCACTGCCGTGACTTGGTTTTGCTTCTCTGCATCTCTCCCACATGCATGGTCCATCACACATCGCTCATGCCGGTATCCCTGTTTTCCTGTGCTCAGACACACATGTTCACAGCTGGTACCCCACATCACGCACGTGTCTCCTGTATGTGTTTCCTGCAGGGCCCTTGAGTGCGGGACCCTCTTTGCATCTTGAAGGTGTTTTGTACGTCTCCTCAGAGGATCAGAAGGGACAGGATAGAGGTGAAGTGAGTGACGAACTCCCAGTAGAAACTCTGTATTTCCACCCAGGTCATCCTGCAGTGAATCAGCTATTTGGCTTCACCAGCTGCTTTCCAGGAAGAGATGTGTGGTATTAGGTGAAGCATCTCATATTCTTCAGGGTGCATACGTAGAACCCATGAATACTGGTCATTCTGTGGTGTATGGGATATTTAGACCACATCTGCAATAGTAAATTAGGCACTGGCAGGCCATGGCACATTGTCCCCAGGGTATGGCCCACCACATCTGGCATAAATTTTCCATTCATAGAAATTAGATCACCATAGAAATCGGTTTCTTATAGGCTTTTCCTGAAGAAACTGCTACCAGATCTAGTTGGAGATCAGTTTCTGGGCTGGAGGTGCCATTGGTCAGCCCTGTTTCAGCTGTTCTCATAGACCATCTCTCCACCTCTATGGCCCTTCCTTTGGGCATGAAGACATGCAGAGCCCTCGGGAATGGCTCTCCAAGAAAAGTCATGGCATAACCCACTGTTACCTCTTCCACTGAGAATTCCCCTGGAGTCGATGCCCACAGCCCTTCTGAGGAGCCCACGGATCAGCAGTTGCCATAAGGATGCTTTGGCTCCTAGCCTGGTCCAGGGACAAGATTGGGTTTCCACCTAATTAGCTGCATGGTGATGGCCAGCTTGGCAGGGAACAAAAGCAACGCAAGGAGCCACCCAGCCATGTCCCATCCCCTCCATTATTCACAGCAAACCAGCATCGGGTGTCGTGCCTTTATCTGAGGCTTCGCTGAAGAGCACTAATCAGCCACACATTAATTATTCACAGAGACCATGGCTCACCTTTCCACATAGCCCATTGCCAGGGCTCTGCTTCTCCCCACTCCTCCTCATCCTCGCCAAGACTGAAGTCTAGCAACTCTCCTGCTAAGACTCGTTTTGCACTTTGGGGTGGGTGGTGCTGAGGTAGCGCCTTTGGATGCATCCTGGCACTGTTTAATTTACTAATGTGGGGATTTCCCAGGGAGCAGAAGGAAGCCCGTCAGTCTGGACACTAATCCACGGCTAATCCCTTCATATTCATGACTTGGAGGCACGTGTTCTGCAAGCTGTTTCCTGCCACTTGCACTCAGATAGGACACTGGAGATACAGAAGACCTGACTGCTTCCAGAGGGTGCAAAACCAAGAGCACCGGACCCTGGACAAAGGACACTGGTCATCCATGTATGATCCCCTGAGCCCCATAAACACATATATCAACAATGAAGATGAAGCCACTTTGGGGCTTGATCTCTCAAGACACTTGACTGGTCCAAACCAGGATGGACCCAGAAGGGAGCAGAATCAGGGCCTCCTCATAGCCTCACTGCCCTTAGGGAGGTTTCTAAACTTAAAGACTCCTTAACTTAGCAGAAAAAGAGAGAGCAGGTAATTAAACTCTAATTAAACTCTGCAAAAAAGCCTCTGCAGGGAGATGCTGGATGCTCCACCACCATGCAGTCCAGATCTTCCTGCAATTAGCCCCACTGATAGACTCTGGGCAGCCCAGAAGCTTGATCTGTGACTGCAGGGCACTTATGTCCCTTGTCCCAGCATTGCTGGGGAGGACAGACTCTGCTTTTCAAGGGAAATGCATTCCAGAAATGGGAGCAGCCATCCTGTCGTAGCCCATCACGATGCAGATTGTGTGAATGCGCTGCACGAACGCTTCGTGTTGGTTGTTCCAAGCTAGCAATAATTTGTGTGTAATCACCATAAAGGAACCAGCAGCCTCTGATCCAATGATAGCTTTTTTTAATGAAAAAAATGGAATAATAGGGAAATCCCAGAACAGCCAAGTATTCAGACAAGGTGAATGGAGTGAGCTGGGCTAACCTGGAAGCCCTCCTAGGGGAATCATAGAGAAGCTTGAACAGAATTCAATGAACAAGCAATTAAAAATGGAGTGTAATCAATGACATTCAAAGCAATTTTGTGAGAAGATGGAGCCTGTCAAAACAAGCTTGGTTGGCTTCTTTGAAGTCAGTTTTTCTAGTAACTTCATGAAAAGAATATTATCTTATAAGATGTTTGGTTTAATGCTGCCTGCTATTAATGTTACGCACCAGGAAACAGGAACAGATTAGTGGAGAAAACCTAAAAATAGGAAATCAGCTGAGAATCATCTTTGAGTGACAGTATTATGGTGCGATTTTGCTAATAAGCCAGTGATTGCTACATCTGTGACTGAGACGTAAAATGAATTTCTATAGTTTATAAGGAAAATTTTCAAGTGAAGCCTGATGGAGCAGGCAAGTCATGAGAAAAGGGAGGCAGCCACACAGGATCACGAGGATCTTGGGATGAGCGTAAGCCAAGCAAAAGGGGCAAGGCCAAAAAAAAGCCCCCCAAAAAAATACACTTTGGAGATCAAGGTTCCAGAGGCTGGAAATGACACTGATTCTCAACAGGCAAGTAGAAGGTGAATATTCCCATCCATTCCCACCGAAACTGGTCTGCTGCATTGAGAAAACCTGGAGAGATTGGCACCCTGCTGCCTTCCTCTTTCGAGACAGCAACCAAATAAAACAAGTTATTTCAGCTCTCCCTCTGCTACTCAGGTTCCCATTTAAAAGTCATTGCACAGGAAGGACCCTTTTTTTGATGACAAGGCTGTGTTTGAAGTCCCTCTAGCAGGGTAGGAGACCGAGCTCCTACCATTAAGTGGTGGTGGCTTTTTAGGCCAGTGAAACAACCTGCAGTATTGATTAGCAACATAAGTACACGATGCAATTTTGTCCTTTCCATTTAAATCTGTATTTTCGATGAGTGCCATCCCTGGAGCTACCAATGCCTTTGAACGCACACCAGAGTGAATTCCCCTTACTCACAGGCAACCAGCACCAAGATTACAGGTGACCTGAGCTCCCCCTCTTTCCACACAGCAAGTCTCAAAACTCTTTTCCCTTCCCATTTCCAGGCTTCCTGGAAAAATTCACTTTCGTCTTGGAAACCATTGCTCATGGGAGAAGAAAGATCACGAGATGATCTGCAGCCCCACAGCAGAAAAGGCAGCAAATCCCTTCAGTAGAATCTCTATCCCTGCTTAAGCTACCAAGTACCTGCTAACGCAGCCTGCAAACTTTGAGGAAAAACAAATATTTTGCTCTTTCCTCTCTTTAACATTAAAGGCCTGTAGGACACTCATTCTTGTGAAGAGCTCCTGCATTTTTGCAATGACAACGAGGACAAATACACTAAGGTCACGAGAAGGGACCAACTAATTTTTCACCTCTCAAGCTCATTGATTTGTGAGTTAAACTCAGAAATAAACCTTAAAAATATTAATAACATAGCACGTAATACAGAACTTCTGGCAACTACCAGAATGTCTAGTTGAGAAAATCTTAGGATACAAAGATAAACCAGAAGCACAGAATTTGCAAAGCTGCAGATATAAATTTAGGCATCAACTTCCACCTTGATAATACATTAAAATACTTAATTTTCTCTTAAATACATGCAAATGGCATTGAATCACATGACAGCACATTTGAAAAATCATAGATATGAAAAATTGTAGATCTGGGAAATTGTAGATATGGAGATGACCACAATCTTATCGCTAGCCATTAGCAAATTAAGCCAGTGAGATACATTGCTCCAGGGACACTATATCAGGGGCCTACACTTCTGGGTGGTTTACTGAGTGCTGAAGATGAAGTCAGGTCTATAACTTTAGCCGTTTGGGTGCGTAAATTCTCATTTTACCTCCTGTGTCAGGGAATCATTGTTGCTTGCAGACAAAAAGAAAACATTGGGTCTGACCCAGTGATGAGGCACTTAGGGGCAAGATGAGGCCCTTAGGGGCATGGTTTAATAGGCACGGTGGTGATGGGTTTATGGTTGGACTCGATGATCTTGAAGGTCTTTTCCAACCACAATGATTCGATGACCATCCTCACCCTACCCAGAAGACATCGCCAATGCGTTTATCACCCTCTAGTCTCCAAATCAAAACAGGGATGTGGCTCCAAAGTGCCACCAGGTCCCTCTTCCCACCAAAGCACTCAAGCATGGGATGAGAGGGAAGACCACGCTCTCACCTGTTGGTGAAGACTTTGCTGTAGTTGAACACCTGCACCTCCAACATCTCGTTCCCGTCGATATTGCTGGCCACCGGCCAGCGGAAGGTCTGCAGAGAAAGGATGGGATGGAGATATTAGGACTTGTTTATGGTGCTGGAAAGGCTGCAGGCTGAGCTGAGAGGTCCATGGAAAACTGTTAAATATCCCTGTGCCCTCTGAGAGCAACATGTCCCCTCTGCAGATATATATACATGGAATTAAGTAAATGTGCCCTATCTATAGCTTTGTATAAGTTTTGCTACTTAAATGCAACTTCTGGGGTGTGTGTATACAGACATATATATCATGCTTATTTGGGAATTTTTTTCCTTCTCCGAGACGAGAAATCGGTCTGCCAGTCTCAAGCACTTCAACGTCACCCAGTTTTCCGAGCCATGGTCCTCTGGAGCTGAGCAAACCCATGATGAAGCCTCTACTGCAGCTGTCCCGAGTGGCTCAGAGCCAGAGGGAGCGAGAATGAAGACGTCTACATCCGTGTGAAGGGATTGCATCCAAAAGCCTGAAAGGAAAGTGTTTATCAAGCAGCTTTGCAGGAAGGAATTCGAGACTCTTCAGAAATAAGCTGACTCTTGACTTGTAAGTGAGTCTTTTCCCACTGTATGTTCTTTACAGCAAGTCAAAAGAACAAATGAAAAAAAAAACCTGAAATAGAGAGGAAATAAAGCTAGAAAAGGGTATAAATGGGTAGAAAAGAATCTAGAAGTGGTGGTGGTGTTTTGCTTGTCATGGGGAATGGGAGCGAGGTAGCAGATTGCCACGTTTGCAGGACTGGGACCCTGTTCGGGTGCTCCCACTCAATGCAGGAAGGACGGGGGACAGATGTCCCCATATCCCTGTGGAAAATATCCCGAGGCCACCCCTTGGGGCAGCCCCTGGCATCTGCTTGTGGCCCAGTGGTGGTCTGAGCTCTACCAAAGTGCCACTGTCAGTGGCCAGCGGATTAGAAAGGGTCTCCAGCTACATGAGCCCGGTGCTGTTGTTAATGTTGGTTTTCAGGAAGAGAAATAGCAAATAAGGCCCCTTGGAAAGTGCAGTGGCTTAGAAAACCTCCCACGCTCCCCACAGAACTGCCCTTCTGAGAGCAAGATGCACAGTGCAGAGGAGCAAACCATGCTCCAAGATGGCCATGTGTTATCCTGGGAGCATCTTTTCCGTTGCTCTTTCCCATTAATTACTCTTGGCATGGGGCACACACATGCCCCTCGGTGTGATGATGTCCCCAGCCCTAGGAAGGGCTGCAGCATAGCCTAGTCAGCTCTCCAGCTCCCAAAAGAGGCTGCTTCCAGATGGGCTCACGTTTGCAGAGCCTCTAATTCAATTTGCTGAAGAGTTTGGGCTAAAATCTTGGTGAATGCAACATGGGGAATGTTTTTCTGCTGTCGGAAATAAACCATTCGTGGGGTGCAACTGAAAGTCTTGATGCTCAGAAAAGGACCCTGAGACCTGAATCCTGCTGCAGATCCACCTGGAATTGGCTGAACCATTTAGGGGAAAATCCACACTAGATGCCCTCGGTTTTGGGGTTAGGGATCGGAGATTATCCCGCCTTGGCTAGACACTTAAATCACAGTTTGTCCAGGTTCTCCATCACTGGAGAAGCTTTTAGCACTTGCAGCTTACAAACCAAGCCAGGCCTGGCCCTGGGGGGCTCCCATTCTTTCTGGGTTGAGTCAATCTAGCCAGGACCACACGCCTTAAATCTAACCCCCTAATGAACCGATTTGTGCTCTGCCGCAGCCTGTTCCCTCTTCACTCTACAGATCCATTTCTCCACAGTTCTGGTGGAAATGAAAGTCTCTGCTCTTATCTCTAAGTTACAATCACCACAGCACCCGGAGAAGCAAAAAAATAACTCTAAGGAACAGCTTTATTTCTGTTTTTTTCCCTAAGATAGACTTCTTTGTGTTTTTCTTTTTCTTTTTTTTTTTTTTTAAGCCTAGAAATGCTTATTAGAATCACACGGCCCAATCTTTTATATATCCCAGGCCATGGGTTTTCATGCTGCACTTAGAGGTTTTCTGCAATACAGATGTCTTGTGTCTGAACCAGAACGCGTGTTGTAGAAGGAAAAAAAAGTAGCAAAAAAGAGAAGATATTCCAGAAAGCAAGCACTAATTAACTACACTTCCCGATAAGTAGCTTCCACAGATGATTATCTTCAGTGGTAGGTATTTGCATCACATTTCTACTTTAAATTCATTGGCTTCAGCAGTCTTGCTAGTTCCCTCTGATTCCATGCCTTGCTGCCTCTGGAGATGCATGGAGGGGCCCCAGCCTGCCAAGGCAGCATCTTTTGCAACTCATCAGAGCTGCATTTTCCCCCAAAGAGCCCAAATAACCCTTGGATGTGTCTGCATCCTGCTGGATCTCACTGTGCACAAGAGCGGACCTGCAGATCCACATAAACGAGGGAAGAGGGTAAAGTTCGAAGATGAAGTTTTCCCAGCTCATTTGCAACAGGTCCTCGGGGGCTGCTTCCCTTCATCGGTTCAAAGAGCGTGCCCTGAAGCTGATTAGGATGGGGTATTTAATGCAGCCTGAGAAGCCAACACGAACCAGCGCGCCTGCACCAAGGAGCAGGTCTGCACAGATCCAGTGCAGCAATTCCTGCCTTCCACCAAATCACCAAAATCCACCTGCAATAGTGTCTGATGCAGACCCAAATATAAAGCGCTCCCTGTGCTGGATGTGCATGTGGTTCCTCATCCATCCTCTCCAACGCAAACCCTCCTGCAAGAGCCTTACTTTTGCATAGGGCAGCTTTTCCATGTCCGTATGGAATACAGGGATGGAATACCCATAATTATCCCATAACCATATAAAGCCAGAGGTCTTGTACTTGTTTAAAAGCTGACAGGGGTCATTCTGCTTCGGGATGCGCACAGGACACGACACAACTGCTCCTGATTACACAAAATTGAGCCAGGGAACTGCACCTACCACAGGACGAGCCAGCAGCTTATCTCCCTGAGCTCTGGAGAAGCACAGCTTTTGCATAATTCATTCAGCAATGAATAAAAATAATAGAAAATAAATAGAAAGGAAAGAAAGGAGTGAAACCAAACAAATTGAAAACCATTTTGGCAACCCAGATCCAGCCTGCTAGCAGATTCTCCTGAATGCTAAGCAGTGGTAGGGGGGCTGATGTTCTTGCTAACTGTCAAAAAGGCTTCACAGGAACCTAATAATCTTCTGCTTGTGCCTAGCTCTGAGATGAGGCAGGGAGTATCCTCTGCATCCTCAATCTGCCTCAGAGCCCCTGCCAGCACCAGCCAAAAATGGGAGGGGAGAAACTGTCCCCATTTGCCTCTGAGCTGCTGCTTTTGCCTCCTGTGCACCCAGGACACTCACCCCGGCCGAGTGCTCGCTGCTGAAAAGGTCGTTTTCCATCACTCTTAGGATGCAAGGGACATCGCAGGAGGTCCCTTTTCCCTGGCAGCTAATGGCCCAAATGACACCGAGCATCATTTTTTCACAGTTTGAACACTACAGTCCATATGTGCCCATCGCTTGGCTGCATGAGGGAGCCCGTGGGGCTGACCCTTATGCTGGACCTTCCTCCTCACGGTGCACCCCACAGATATTGCACAAACCTCCTCTGTTTTAAGCATAACCATCCTCATCGCGGCCCCCGCTGCAGTGTAAGGGCCAGAAAGGCTGCTTGGTTCAAGCCACCCATGCAACACGTTGGGCCTCCTGTCGGCTTCCCTGCATCCAGAATTCGCCAGCTCCCTGCCAGGACATTGCTAATTGCTGCTCTAGGATGTGGACACATGTAAGGGACAGGCCCCTTCTGCTGTCCCTTGGAGGCACGTGCCAAGCCCGGTGCTGCTGCCAATGAAACCTGCCAGCTGGACCGGTCATCAGAAGATGTGACAATTTGCCATGTGTGTACACAACCCAGATGGAAATATCTGCATTCCCAGACAGCACTGCCAGCTAATTACTACATAAGAGATGTAAGAATGTGCTTAACTTAAAGGACAGCAGCATCCACACTGAATGCTGTCCATGGACCCTGGCGCAATGCAGCCTCTCAATCTCGTTGAAGTTGCCTCTTGGTCCACAAGCCAAGTAGTTCTGGAGCAAATCAGGGTGTTTGTGAGGCAGACAGGCAGGGATATGAGGGAAGCCTAACTGCTGTTGAGGCATCACCCATCGCAAGGAGACAAGAAGAACTTGGTGCAAGTACACGAGATGGCCTCCACTCCCCACAGCATAGGTTGAAGCCATAGGGGGTTTTGAGATAGAAGCAACTCTATCTCTGTTATTATTCAAATCAATCATTATAACAACAAATTACCCTGTGCACATCTGTAAGAATTGGCATCTCATTAACACGAGCAGCTTCCCCAAGGCTGACCCTGCTTTGTAGGAGAGTGGTTGGAGATGCTGCCATGTTTTCAGCATCCCGGGTTTCCCCTTCCCTTTTTCCTCCCTGGTAATTTAGTGTGAGAAGATTAAAATCTTCCCCTAAATTTGGAGAAAGGGCAATTCCTAATGGCAGAGCCTGTTATCTCATGGTTGGAGTTCATCTCTAGGCTGAGTCCAAAGGGCCTCCAGACTCGCGCCCATCTGCGCCTGTAATCTAAAGATCAGTGGGTTTGCAGCAGGGATCAGAAACCATGAATCCATGGATTCCCGCCTGGAGAAGAGGGGTTTGCTCCAGGCTGCCTTGCACAGCTCTGCTCTGGTTTATCCTGTCCTCCCATGCATGGTGGGACCACAACCTGGAGCACTCTGTGCTGGATGGCCAAGAGGGGCCGGAGGAATGGGAATGCTTCTAGCTGCACAAGATGGGAATGACATGGGATTTATGGCCCCACGAAAAAAAAAAAAAAAAAACATATCTCCCACCTGGAACCAGGATGGAAGCTTATCTCTTAAGGTGAAGAAGCTTTAGGAAGAGATAAAGAGTTTAAAGATCTCAATGTCTCCCGTAGCCTCCTGTATTCCCCACCCCACAATGTCTCCCGTAGCCTCCTGTATTCCTCGGTCCCTGGGAGTGGGTTGTCTTCTCTGAGCAATACAAAACGATCAGAGGAAACATTTGTTCTCTTCTGAGCACGTTTTTCCATTTTGAATGTGACTTCCTGCAGCATCTCTGTTCCCCGCTTGTGTGGGTGATATTATCTCAGTCTTCTCGGAATATTTTTGAGATCACCGCTGAAGACAAAGCTGCATTTCAAAACCACGCAGAACTTGGCTTTCAAGCCCTTCCTCTCTCCCTTTGCAAAACTGAGAGCAGAAAGTCAATACATCCTCCCATTTGCACCAGAAAACAGGCAAAGGTGAACAAAGTGCCTTGAACTCAGCTCTTCACTTATATCTACTTTTCCCTCTGTCCCTGCTGCTTCCATGAGAATCCCTCCCCACTCCAGACACTAAAGTAAATGGTGAAACGAGTTCAGCATCTCTGCCCAACATCACTCCAGCGTCGCTGTAAGAGGAGACCTACCCTGCGATGAACGTGCCTGGAAAACAGAGCGCGAGATGGAGCAGGAGGAAAACAGATCTCTTACCTCGTCAAACCTGGCCTCGTCCTCGCAGTTCTCAAGCACTCGGGTGTAGAAGGACAGGCCTGGGGAGAGGAGAGGAGAAAGAGTTTGGTTAGACCAAGGCAGGAAGGTAGCAGGTCTGGGAGATGTGGGCAGGATCTGACATGAATCCAACATCAGCCTCGATGTGCAAGGGCAGGAATTGTCTGGATGGAGGAAAATTAACTGGTAAAAGTGCACGAGCGTGGCAGGGAGCCTAAATCCAGCTCTACTGAACGTGGGAATTTAAGAGCTGGCTTTTCCTCATTCTTCAAGGGTGTGAAATAAGTAGAACTGAACTAATTTTATGTGTTCATGGGAGAGCCCACAGTGGCAATAAACATATTAACCTGCTTTAAGAGCTAATTGAAAAGGCGTTTGTCGAATGCCCTGGTCAATGTGTTCAGTCCTTGCCGTGAGTGAAACAGAGCGGATGAAGCCTCTGGGTCTGGATCACAGAAGCTTTTATGCTGGTCTAAGGTGGACAAGACAAACCCGGGTGTATTTGGAAGCAATCTGCAATCTCCAGAGAGTGCTCCAAGCCGCATTGCCACCGCTCCTGCACAGAGTGGGAGTTACGTTATGTTTGAGCCCTAAAATAGCTGTTCCAGATCAAAAGTTGCCCTGTTCTTTTGGGAGGATAATCCTCTGCTCTCCCCCTTGCCCTGAGTTGCCATCTTCAGTTCACATTCACATCCTAGCACTGCAGAAGGAAAAGTTATGAAACCATTAGTATCTAGATGCTGAATCAGAATAAGGCTGCTTGATCCAGAAAGTCTCTGGGGTTACTGAAAACCTCTCTGTTTCCAGCAGGGACACATGGTGGGATCTGCTTGGGGTCTGGAACAACCTCCAAAATGCGCATCAGGTACCCCATAACATGGTGGGATCCATGTTTCTCGCCTCCTTCCCTCCTCCTGAAGAGGAGCTGTGTGTGGACAACTGCACCATGCAAGAACCAAAGGCTTGGGAGAAATTCTCCGGAGGGGACGCCCATTGCCCTGCTTCTAATGAGAGCAGGCATCGCACCAGGTGACCGTGATGGGAACCTCCACCCCACGCTCCTGAGCTCTACAGCAACTGCTCCATCAAACAACATCATTATCCACTGGCGCCCGGTGAAGGATCTCTCTCATTTACAGCAGCTGCTGCAGAGGGGAAGCCTTGCACGGAGCTCCTGTCTCCATCCATCCATGATCGATTAGCTGAGAAGGAGCCTAATTGCAGTGAGGATGCTCAGCCCTCTCCTCCCGCAAACGGAATTTTTCATAGATTAGGAAAACCCGACTGCAGCCAAGAGCGGGACAGGCTCTTGTGCTCCGTTGACTTCTCTGGTGTTGAACCAATGAGCCCATGTTCCCACTGCACTTCCAGATCAGGATCTGGAAAACCTGGCATGTCTTCCTGGCTTCTGCTGTTGGGAAAAAGTGAGCAAGAACCTGCTCCTGTCTGTGCCTCAGTTTCTCCTGTTTGGAACACTCGTTTTCTGATGTTCAGCTAGGCTTCCTGTCGGCTCGTGGGGATGCAGGGATCCCTGGGAGAAGCAGAACAGCATCATTTCATACTCAGCCCACACCTGAGTCAATCTCAGCCCCGCACTCCTAAATGAGTCTTTCTCCTCAGGAACAACCGTTTCACGAGAGCTATGATTTATTCAACTGGAGCTGAAGGCCCCTGCAAAACAAGGCGTGCTGCTGCCTGTCCAACTGCAGCCACTTTCTTTAACTTTGTGCAATGCACTCTCTGCTGAATGAGCAAATAACCCCCTGGAAAGCTCCGCTCCAGCCACCCAGACCACGATGCTGATGGGCAAAGGGGAATGGATGGCTAGCCAGGAGAACCATGCTTTCTGCAGCACTCACTGTGCTGCAATAACCCTGGGAGAACCAGAACAATCCTGAACATCAGCACAGCCGTTGCACAAGTTTTGGAGTCCTCAGCAAAGCCCACAGCTTGGTGTGGTTGGTGGCCACAGCTTCGCTCCACACCACATTGCTGGAGAGGGGATAAAGGGAGACCTTCTGGGTGGGATGTGGAGGATGGATTGGACAACTGGGCATGCAAGAGCCCAGACGGGAGGGTGAAGGTCATCTCCCTTCAGCTGAATCAGAAGGTGCCTGGAGGAAACAAGTCTCAAGCTCCCTCTAGAGTCAATGGAGAAGGATAGGGCCAGCAAAGCCTTGCCCAAACCATAGAGACCAGTGGAAACGCTGCCCCACACGTGCACGGAGCACCCACGACACCACTAGAGCAGTTCATACCTGCCCCCAGATCAAGATTCAGAGCGGGAGGAGGGTGAGAACAGACCCCATTACCAGCTCACAGGACGCAGTTGGGCACCATCTGGTACAAAGAGCCATGACCTCACCCTAACCATCCCAAACGCCTAGTTCTCCCATTAATTAAAAGGGGAACCGGCGTAGCCACCGCTCCCTGGGAGCACAAGAAGGGAAGTCCCAGCTCCTGGGAGGTTGGGACATGGTTTGGTGGCCAAGGACCACCCATGTCAGAGCTGATGGTCCCAGGCTGTGAACTTGGCACTGAAGTCCTATCAAACAGAAGCCAGGAAAGTCTTCCTTATAGTCAATGCTCTGCAGTGCTGGGCACCCTCAGAGAAGGTTGAGAGAACATCCTGCACACAACCAAGACATGCAGGGGCGAGCCCAGTGGCCTGGGGACTGGACCTGGCTCCTCCAAAGCAAAGAGCCATGTGGCATGAACCGAAGAGCCATGTGGCAAGAAGCAACCCCCAAAAAGCACCAGTCTGGACCTGCTAATGTGCGCTCAAACATGGGAGTTATATCCATGAGGTACTTGCACATTAGGAAGAATATAAGACCATCCTGCCAACCCTTGTGGTTCAAAGGATATAGTGACCATCAAACACTGACTCTAGGCCAAAGTGAGCAGAAAAAATATATATATTGCAGATGTCTGAGCTTGCAACATCTACTTCTTGGCCATGGACCCCAGATGATGGCCTTGGAACTGCCTTATTACAGTTTGCTAAAACTGCTTAGATCAATGGGATCTCAGAGAAAGCCCTTTCCCATTCGGCTTGTTGCTGGATGGGACAAGCACTGCTTGTCCACCCTGGTGCGATATTCCGCTCCCTGGGACAAGGGGATCAAGGACAGGACAACGCAGCCACCCGCAAGGTCCCATCCTGGGTTCATACAACCCATGCTATATTACTTGGTGGCCCGGTCTCAGTCCTATCCCTCAGCCCACAAAGATGCCACCTGCAGACAGCCCATGCCCAGGCTGGTTATTGAGCCTTGCTGGGCTTGTTTCCCCATCGCTCATCAGCTGGACTTGCTGTCACACACGTGGAAGGTGATACCAGGGGGACCAAGACCTGGATCTCAGGATTCAGCTCCACTGAGTGTGGCCACCAGAAGCAGTGGCTCTTTGTGGATGATCTTGTGGAGGGCAGTGGCATTAGGTCCCGAGAACCCCTAGGATGCCCAGAAAGAGCAGAGGAAGAGGAGTTCCTGGATGCATAATGATACCTGCTGCATTCACAGGGTGAGATAAATCCCTTCATTACCAGCAGGGATTAATTTTACAGGCAGGGACATCTCCAAGGCAGGATAGCGGGGTCCCAGCAGGGCCACATGGCAGACAGTAGGGACAGGCTGCACAAGCAGCAAGATGGGCAGGATGGGGCAGGAGAAGTTTGCACCTGCTGAAAAGCAGTTCAGCCGCAGACAAGGTGGCCTGGCTCTGCACTGGTGAAAATGTCCCTTCTCCTTCTCTCCCTATGGAGCAAGGATTCCTATCCCTGCCTGGCAGCCCCACGAGCTGCCAAGCCATCCCACGTCCTCTTCCGCCGGCAGCAGCACATGAAGCGCCCTCGGACCCGACCTCAGATACAAATCCATGAGCGCAGCCGGGTCCCAGCCCAAGCTGGTGAAGCCTCCAGGCCGTCAGAGTGACACTTTGGTGGTAGGGCAGCTCCTTCCACTAATTCCAGCCCTGACCCCCCTGTAGGTCTCTCCTGGAGAGAAACCCCATTCCCTCCACATCCAGCCCCTGGCAGGATTTGGGCACACTGGGACCTTTTCCTGGACAAATCCCCATCCCCAAGGGCTGCCTTTGAGGGGTGACACGGGGGACGTCAGGTCCCCAGCCGGGTGCTTGGAGGCAGAGGCACCACAGAGGAGCAGCCTGACAGGGGTCTCAGCCCCACTGCCCCTCTGGGGAAGAGGGGGGAACCATGTGGCATCCCACGTCCCCCTTGCAGCCTCGGGAAGAGCCCAACAAACTCGAGGACTGTGATGGGGAAACTGAGGCAGGGACTGGTGGGGGTCCCATCCCGTGTCCTGTCCCCTCCCCGTTCCTGCTGGTACCTCGGAAAACTGCCTTGGCGATCCGGTCGGCTTTGCCGCGGAGACCGGAGACAGTACGGAGCCGCAGCTGCAGGGCCATGGTGCGCTGTGGGGCTGGGATACGCGGAGCAGGGATGCAGTGCCCAGAGCCGGGATGCGCAGAGCCCGTGGAGCCGGGATGAGGTGCACAGAACCAGGTACACGGAGCCGGGATGAGATGCTTGGAGCCACTGCCTTGGCGATCCGGTCGGCTTTGCCGCGGAGACCGGAGACAGTACGGAGCCGCAGCTGCAGGGCCATGGTGCGCTGTGGGGCTGGGATACGCGGAGCAGGGATGCAGTGCCCAGAGCCGGGATGCGCAGAGCCCGTGGAGCCGGGATGAGGTGCACAGAACCAGGTACACGGAGCCGGGATGAGATGCTTGGAGCCGGGATGCGGTGCACAGAGCCGGGATGCGCAGAGCCGGGATGATGTGCACAGAACCGGGTACACGGAGCCGGGATGAGGTGCTTGGAGCTGGGATGCGGTGCACAGAGCTGGGGTATGTGGAGCCGGGATGAGGTGCGTGGAGCCGCGGTGCCTGTGCGACCGGGTGCGGAGCCGGGATGCGTGGAACCACGGAGCTGGGATGCGGTGCTCGGAGCCGGGATGCGGTGCCGGGACACGGTGCTCGGAGCCGGGCGGCGGCGCCCGGACGCGGGA